ACACACACACACACACACACACACACACACACACACACACACACACACAAACGGGATGCTACCTACCATTGCCTGGAAGCCCTGTGTGCCCCTTCATCCCAATCCCATTCCCTGGAAATCACTTACCCGCATTTCCTTTATTCCTGCCATTGATTTTTATTATATACATACGTATTTTCAACATAACTTGGTGTGTCTAGCCTTAAAATGAATAGATCCATGAAACATTAGCGTCTTTTATTTTTGTTTAATGTATTTTTAATTAAAATATAATTGTATAATTTACTCATTTCCTTTTTCCCCCTAACCCCTCCCATTTCCCTCCTGTCTTTGTCTTAAATCTATGGTCTCTCTTATTATTAATATAATATAATATAATATAATATAATATAATATAATATAATATAATATAATATAATATATATGTACAATTATATAAATACAACTTGCTGAGCCTGTTTTTGTTGTTTGTGTGTAAATGATTTCAGCACTCACTACTTTGTGTGGGATACCCAACTAAGAGGCTTTTCCCTAGGAGACATTGAAGTCATTAGCCACCTGTGGGACACCATGTGAGATTTTCCCTCTTCTGCATTCAGAATGTTTATTGGTATGCCCACTGTATGGTCTGGTTTAGACAGTCATTTCTAGGAGACGTTAACTTCTTTGAAGAAGCTTAAACTTTACTTATATGTGTGCTCGCATGCTCCAATGCAGACACATGGCGGTCAGAGGTGACTCACGGGAATTGGTTCTTTCTATCATGTGGGTCCTAGGGACAGAATTTAAGAGTCAGTCTTGTGGCAAATGCCTTTACCCACTGAGCCCTCTTGAATTGGCTTGTATATTCATTTCTTCAGTTTGTCTTGATTGCATAAATTATTTTTTTTAACTGGGGCTGGAGTGCTGGCTCAGTGGTTAAGAGCATTGGCTGCTCTTCCAGAGGTTGCAGGTTTGATTCCCAGCAACCTCATCATGCTCACAAATGTTCTTACCTGCAGTTCCAGGGAGTCCAGTGCTTCCTGGCTCCCTCAGGTACTAAGTATTCAGGCAGGTACACAGACACACATGCAGGCATAGCACCAATATACATGAAAAAATAATAAACTATTTTAAAGAGAAAAAAATCTTATTTTTGCTATTTATCCATAGTGATACAAGTGGAGTTCACTAGTTTTCACTGTTCAAATTGACCGACAGTTGGGCCATTTCCAGGGCTGCTTCTTTGTTTTTCCTGTTAGATACAGGAAAGCAAGCTGGTGCCCAGTGCTTCAGCACTCACATGGCATGTGCAAGGACCCGAAGGAGAGGAACAGCAGGACATCACTGATGTTCCTACATGTGACCTTGGCGTGTCACTTAGAAATGTCTTACAGACCTATGCTCGTTATGTACATCATCAAACTTACTAGCTAATACCAAACTCTTTCCAAAGCGATTGTACTCAGCAGCATATATGAATCAAAGTTTTCACAAAGGCTATGGCTGGGAATTTGTCATGTTAATCCAGTGATTCAGTCCCCTCTGTAGCTGCTGTCATACACTTGGCCTGAGCACTCATCCTGGCTTATGCTGTGGAACCATGCTGTCGACAAGCCGGCAGCTGAGATTTGGTATCATCACTTTCCATTCTTGCACAGTCCTTCCTGGCAAGCAGTGAGAGCTCTAAAGCCATCGTGGCAGGCTTGGAAGGTCGGATTGTGACACTGCACATGCTACCCACCGCACGGGGCAAAAGGTCCAGCCTGGAAAAGCAGATTCTCGTTTTCATCGTGTCAGACTTAATACAGTAAAAAGAAGAAAGACGAGTGGCTGTAAAAAGAAAAAGCAGAAGTGTAACCCTTGCCCCCATCTCTTTCTCTGGGGAAATAAGAAGTTGCCAGACCAGGTGCTGAGCAGGGTTGGTGGGGAGGAAAGTCAGCAGGCCAACGGGAGCATTTTACAATAATTCAGTCAGAACAGAAGCCTGTTATCATCCCACTGGCCAGACTCTACTGAACCTTGATGACGTCATGTATGTTTTCCCTATGTTTCTTTCCACTAAGAGCTGTGGGAGGGGTAGGGCGGGGAACTAGGTCTCCTTCAGGAAGAAAGCCGAGCAGCCTGATTAGGGAAAGCCAACAGCTACAGGAAGCATGCTCTTGCGCGTTTCTCATGATGTCCTACTCTCCCACAGAAGGACTAGCTCTGAAGCCTCAGCTCTTGAACATCCTGAAGAATGGGAAATCCAGATATAGTGCATGAATGGGAACAGTCAAGAAACCTGGAAGAGAATAGAATTTTGGTTTGAACCAAGAACCCCGGGGGTTAGGGGTGGGGAGAAATCCATCTTTGCTCTCCATCTCTTTCCCTCCTTCCTTTGTCTGCTCCTCCTTCCCCCTCTCACTTCAGCCAGGCCTCGGAGGTGAGATGACAGGAGAGATGACATTTGAAATGACCTCTACTTTGTGCTCCAGGCCCCATGCATTCTTTAGAGCAGGGTTGATGGTCCTTTGATAATGTGACGGATAAGGGGAGGACCTTTCACAAAGGTGATCAGGACATGCCAGGTGACAGGAGAAGGGGTGGCGTGTCCAGGCACAACAGGGAGAAAGAGCACCCTCTCTCATTTTTTTTTAATCCTTGACCCTAGACTGCCTTCTGCTCTTCAGCTCACAGACAAATGGGAAGCTTGCAGAGTAGGCAGAGGAATTGGGGGGAGGAGGGCAGCAGAGTTGTCTGGGTAAGGGTCAGCAGCTACAGGTGTGGGACCTCACTGGGTTTGGGATGACTCCACATCTGGCAGATCACATTGGGTCTGATGGAGGAGAGTTAGGAGGCATTTGTCTGATGCCGTGTGCCATGAAAACGCCCGGCTGGCTCTCAGCCGATATTTAGGTAAATCCTGTTTTATTTGAAAACATTAAGCTTTAAGCAAGGTGACTAACTCCTGACTCCATGCAGCATATGATGGAGTCACCTGTCTCTACCTCCTAAGTGACCTTGACCTTGCACAAAGAATTACCCATCACATTTTAAACGTCCATTGCCAGTGACCTGGGTGCCTGTGTGCATGAGGAAGGGGCACCAAGAACTGTCCATTTCACACCTTAGTTCTCTAGGCAGAAAAGGCTAATCCATGGCTTTATGCAAACAAGCAGAAAGTCCCTAAGCCTCATCCAGATGTAACTGATTATTCAGCTTTTCCTCATACCTGAGAAGTCGCAGGTGACTCTGGCCATCTGCTGAAAACAAGGACTACTAAGGTTTGGCACAAACAGGAAGTAGTGCCCAGCCAGAGGCTTGTTCCAACCTGGCAACAAACCTGATCATAAAAGAGAGCTGCTGGAGAGAGATTTGCATGCCCAGTAAGGTTTCCTTACTGAAGTTTACACAACGCACAGTAATCAGCCAGGCTGGCCGACTCCCTGGATCACATGACCTCTCAGAAACATGAAACTTGACGATGCGCTCCAGCGAGTTTTACTTCCCCTGTGCAGGGGTGTTTGCCAGCAGCCGGCGGTTGCTCTCAGAAGTCAGTTCCAGTGACTTGAGCCCTTGAGCCCAGAGCCTTATCATGCTGCTCCCTAGAAAAGCCAGGAGCTGCTGACATCTCCCTGGACAGGGGCTCACATCTGCTCTCAAGAAAAATGGACAAGCTGAATAAGATAACTGTCCCTGCCAGCCAGAAGCTGAGGTAAGGTCTTCCCTTCAGATCCTTAGCCTTCTTCCTTCCCCAATAGTGCTCTGTCAGTGCTCAGAGGCACCAATAGCCTGGAATACTTAACTAGTTTCAAGGAAGTGATTGGTACTGGCTATAGGGAAGTACACCAGGTTTTTTAAGAAATGTGTAGGAGGAGTGAGGGGAACTGCTCTGGCTGGGTTTTGCCAGTGAAAGGACAAAGGGTGAAGCTCTGGAAAGGCAAGAAGATAGAAAATTTGATGGCCCGCCTGCAGACGGCCAGCTTTCTGAGTAAGACACGCTGCTGAAGAAGGGCTTGTCCAAACGCAGTCTTCACCCAGTGCATGAAGAGTGTTTGTGGTCACTGTTGGTTATCGTCTCTTGTTTATTTTTGTGGGTGGTCATCATAAGTTTATTGGCGGGGGGAACTAGTGCTCTCTTGACAGTACAACAATTATCTATTTTTAAAAGTGCTTAAGGGCCAGTAAGATGGCTCACTGGATAAAGGGTAAGCCTGAAAGATCTGATCTAAGTTCCATGCCCACAACCCAGATAAAAGGGAAAAGAGAGAAGCAGCTCCGCAAAGCTGTCCTTTGACTCCACACTCACTGTGTGGCACATGCATGCCCTGACACATTATGTGCACGCGCACACACTAACAATTTAAAAACAGCTTTATCAAATTAAAAAATGTATATACTAAGAAAGAATAAGCCAGCAGTGGACCAAGGCATAAGTCAAGAGATGACTTCCCAGATTTTCAGTTTGAAGATCTTTTTGTCTCATTGTAGCAGTGCTAGCTAATGGCTTTCAGAGACTGAAACTTTTAAATGTTTAGGGGTATGTTATATTCCATGGGCAGATTGGAACTTTGGACTTTCATGAGGTCACACTTAGGGTCTGAACTAGAGGTCTTGAGACAAAATAGAAGAAAAAGGAGCATGGAGTTGGCAGAGGAATAGCCACTCAAGTTGGCACGTGTGTCTTCTGATTCTGAGGGGCTTGGTCAGAGGCAGACTGAGGTATACTAAGGGGTGCAGACCAGCCGGAAGCATCTGCTGGTCAGCCGTTTCTAGAGCATGCCCACGAGAGCCACAGAGCTTAACATCAAAGTCAGAAGGTCCCACGGGCACCGCAGGTCTTCTGCTCTGCATCTCATGGGAGGAGAGGAAACAGTGGAAGCAATCAGGGGCCACAGAGTGGAGAAGAGAATTGGAGTAGCAGAGACATTTTCATGATGATGATGCTCCAAGAATTAAGCTTTTGAGAAGCAGCTCGGATAAAACAGATGGAGAACTGGGGGAAAGAGTTACATGCTGAAGAAGAAATACAGAGGCTGCTGTGAGTAGAGTCTCAAATGTAGCCTGGTGAGAAGAGTTCTGCCCAGCTGAGGCTGTGGAGGAGACATATAGAGTGAAAGGACCCTGGGAAGTTGGTCCTATCTGATGGGGCCAGCAGTTGTGCTTTTAGAGAGCAGGGTGGACTGCATAGGGGAGCTGGAAGCACAGGCTCTGGGTGCTGGGAACTTAAGCATCTAGAGTTAAAGGCACAGCAGTGAGAAGGGAAAAGGAGGGAGAAGTCAGACGATGTGGTAGAGTACAGACAAGGTTCAGTATCAGGGCTGGTCTGAACAGAGGCCCCAAAGGTCCCTAACCTAAACCCGCCCAAGGCCTCAAAACTTGTTTCAGGGAACCCGGATGGGAATCGAAATAAAGAGAGCAATAGCATTTTAATCTCTTTATGAGCCCTCCCACTGGGACAAAGTCCAGTCTAATCATAAAGTGGGTGATGGGCATTATGTAATCATATTATAGGCTAGAAAGCCAAAATTATATTGCAGATAATCACATGCTCTGCTCATCTGCCGAGAGCAAAGCAGCATTTCCCTCACTTGGTTACCAAGTTATTTGCACAGAATCAGCCTGTTTTCATGAAATGTGCACAGTCAACATGAAACTTTGCAAAGAAATGAGGCTGTAAACAAAACAACTCAAAACACCACCTAAAATATTTTCTGTAAATATGTGACATGGCGAGAAGTTGGCAGGTGAAATACTTGCTCCTCCACTTTGTGCCCTCTCCCAACTGGTCAATAGCAATTCAGACGGTTGCCTAGAGGGTTACTTGGTTCCAGATAGCAACATAAATCAGGAGTGATGTTTAGACTCTTTCAAACTTAACAAAGCTTATAGAATAATAGGAGCAAAGTAATTTGATCAAAGCAAACAGCAATGACCCAACAAAACCATACAGTGAGTGTTCCCAATGGCGGGGGCAGGGGAGGGGAGGGGGGGAGGAAGGTTTGGCGGGATGACCCTTATCCAGGGGGTATATGTCCAGGTCTGGAAAGAGACCTAGAGCAGAAGGGATGATGAGGAAGAGAAGAGAGCAGAGTGAACCAAAAGAAATGAGCACGGGCAGGAGGGGCATGAGGGCAAAGGGGATCCTCAGATCCTCAGTGTGAAGGATGAACGTCTCACTGAGAGTTTTTTCATGCACCAGAACTGAGGCAGGAGTGGTGGCCAGGAGCGTGTGAACATGCATGGACAGGGCCATCTCTTTGTTAACAGAGGTTTCCAGGCTTTCAATACCCTGTGCTTGGGTTTTAGCCATGATATCCCTCTCAGATGGGACCTGGGTTCTCCATCCTTCAACAGCAAATCCCTAGGACCACACAAGCACCACATTCCCAGATAAGCATCTGTGGATGTGCAGTTCCGATTTGACAGTTGTTCTTGTTAGTTAGTCATTGTAACTAAGTTGAAAATGAAATTTTACATTTTAGACAACCCCCCGAGACTGAGTATTTGTGTTCCTATATTTCCCTCTGTAACACACATGAATTCATACCCATTTGTTTGTATAAGTGTTTGTAGAAGTGGAGGGAGATGGCTAAACCATGCTTCCCCAATCTTATTGGTTAGATGATACAGTATTTTTTTGGTCAGACAAACCAAGGTTTTTGTGACATTCGGCAAGTTTACTTAATTTCCCCCACCCCAATTTCTTCACCTGTAAGACAAAGATTATAACAATAGTACCAATGCCATAGGGCTATTGGGGGAATTAAATAAATTGTTCCTTGAAGCTAACATCACAATCCTGGCACACCATAATTCCTGGGTGTAAAAAAAAAAAAAATGAACAGTTATTAATGTAGCTATCATGATCACTGTTATTGAGTCTATAGTTTATAATTGACTTTCTGGACATACTGGCTGCTGGCATGTTTCCTGTTAGTTTCATTTCTTCTTTCTATTTTGGCCATTTTCGGTATTGAGTCTGGCATCTGCAGCATCTAGCTTTGTATGGATTGTAGACATGACACCCATGTCTAAGTGACCAGTGAGGCTGATCAGGACAGAAGGCGCTGTCATGGCTGTCCAAGCCTTGCTGGCTGGAGTCATGCCTTGGGATTTTCTTTGACAGACTCTAGGACACTGCTCTGTCTCTCTTCAAATCCTGAAAACCTCCATTGGAGTTTCCGGTTAGACACTAAATTCTTTAGAGACCAGACCAGCTCTCTTTCACACTTCCGCCCTACCTTCCTCCTCTCAGGACCTCCCTGTTTCTGACAGTGGTTTCATGATCAGCCCTAATTGTGACTCATCCTCTCTGCACCTCACTCATACCTCCTCACTGGCCACACCCTCCAGTCTTCCTTTATTTCATTTCTACCTGTGTCTCTTCTTCCACACCATCCATGGTAGGTCCTCCCCTTCCTGTGTTTCCTGTGGCAACTGATCTACCTTCCTCCACAGGTGGTTTGGTCTAAACAACCCCCACCCCACTCTACCCCCGAGCTCGCTCTCCTCAGCCCTGAGCTCTGTGACTGTTAGCATGGGAGGCCATTTCCGACACACGCCTTACATGTTTCCTAAGCTACTGGGTTCTTCCTTGACCCTCAAGAAATACTTCTGATGTATTCAGAAGAATGATGGTGTGGACTGCAAAAGTCTGGTTCCAACTGCCAGTTACCAGTCTTGGGTCCCAATGAAGTGAGGTGTTATGTCTGGAGAATGAAAAGGCTGAGGAGATGCAGGGCTGATCACACACACTTGTTATCCATCCTTTACTATCTTCTTAATTACATATGCAAATCTCCAGCAGTGTTGATGAGATGCAGATTTGCAGTCATCCTCCCTCAGCCAGCGTGGCTTCCCTGAGGCTATCTTCCTCAGGAGCACCCATCAGGCTATAGGAGTAGATTTTGAGAGTGTAACCATTTTTTGTTTGTTTGTTTTGTTTTGTTTTGTTTTTTTTTTTAAAGACTTTTACCTGACACTATTATAAGTCAATGCCATGATTCCCCCTATAAAACAGCTCTTTGTCTTTGGTCTTATCAAGGTCCCAGGAAGCAGTTTATCTGATTTTATGTGAAGGATCCAGGCCTACCGTGTATTAAGTGGAGTATTCAAGGCTGGGGTGATCCTAAATCCTGCCTCTGAACTCAGGAAGCTTCATAGCTCCTGATCTCTGTGGACAGCCTCAGTGGATTCTTTAAGCCTGTTCACTAAGTCTCCGGTTCTCCTGGCGTGTCACAGGTGCCCCAGTGCCTCTCTCAGACAGACATCTGTGACTCTGGGCTAATGATTATACCTCAGTGACTCTTCCTTATTTTTGTGTATTTCCCCCTTTTCATTCTGAAGAGATACATACAACATAAAACTTGCTGTCTGATCCATTTGTAAGTGAACAGTTCAGGAGCATTGGGTGCGTTCACAACATTGTGCAACTGCCATCGCCACCCATGCCCAGGGTTCTTTGTTTTGCAAAACTGGAGGTCTGTCTTCATTAAAAAGTAGGTTCCCACTGCCCTCCCGCCTGGAAACCACCGTCTATTTTATGTCTCCCCTAGGAACCTCAAGTCCCTGGAATCACGCTATGCTTGTCTTTCTGTGTCTGGCTTACTTCACCTAGTAAGGGTCAAGGGTCACCTGCGCTGCAGCAGGCCGTCGTATTTTAATTACCTCGTTTGTGGGGAGGTGGCACTTTGTTCGGTTAGGGGTGGCCTT